TTTTTTTGACTCCATTCAACAGCTATTTGACGTGGCTGTTCGATAATTTTTTTTATTGGAGACAATTTTTGATTAAATGGTATAGGTCAATGAAGGAAAATGCAAAAAGAGGTGGGCCGCTATAAAATTTGAAAAACGACATGAAGGGAAGTCAGGAACCATACGGACAGTAATTTTCTTTTGTTATATTTATGTAAGCAAAACTAATATTACTTAAACGATTAGAATGATCGTCATCAACACGTCATCAGCGCCATCAAATGAACAGTAATAAGCGAATGTATCAACAATATTTACTCTTTTAGTTTACCTTTTCTTCGCCACGTTCGATGTAGGATGAGTGGATAGATAATTTGTCTAAACACTTCAATATTCATTGAATCACAACTGAATAGATAAGGCTGTAGTAAAAAGAAAAAGTGGGATAAGAAGTCAAAAAGTTTTTCCATACATATGTATACAACTGAAGTATCCAATCTGTTACAGACAGATTTTAACAATAACGTTACAATAAAACCACCTTTTTTGCACTTTATGGTGATTGTTTAGTCACCAAAACAACGTGGAAATCGAATCTTTTATCCGTCTTTTTGAGTGTTTCTTTTAACTCAAAAAAATGGTCTTCCAAAATAACAGCTTATAAAAGACTAATATGAAAACTAAATAGAATTTGTGAGGTTGAATAAAAAAAACGCAAAATAAAAATGAATAAAGTTTCCTCCTCCCTCTCCACTTATTTCTGAATAGTTATTCTTGATGCTTTCATCATCGATGATATTAAAAAGCAGGATACCAAATAGTTGAAGTCTGTGTGATTAAAGAAATCTACCCGTTTTACCTAACCTTCTTGGCACATTCTAATAACAGTAGCAAGAAAGACCGAATAAACAAGCCTTGCCACAGATTTAGAGAACTTTGCTACAATCAATGTTTTTCTTAAACAATCAGACAAAATGAAAAAAATGAGTTTAAAAAAAATCATCTTATTAACACCTATAGATCATCGGGGAGGAGATTCATGTGGAGAATGTATGCTCGTCTCCAATGCCATCAAAAATGACCTTTTTAAATTCTGCGGTAGAAATTTATGTTCATTTCTACGCAGACAAAAGCTATTAATGATGGGGAATACCAACATCCATCAGCAACATCAATAACATCAACAAACAGTTCAGTGCTTCTATTTGTACACTACGGACCACTAAATAAATAGTTCTTCTGAATTAAGCTAGAACGATAGCATTGGACGTTCAAAACTAAATCCAATGCTGTAAGTTATGCATACCATGCACTAAAACTACTGAATAATGTCATCGCTTTGGGTATTTGTTTGTATAGCAGAAAGATTGGTATGAAATTGTCGTTTTTTGCTTATGGCCAACTATGCGATTAGCAATGGAGAGAAGAAAAATTGGTACCGCAACAAGAAATCGAGTGTTAGAACCAAGTGATGTATTTCAGCAAGTGGCTTACTAAGTCCGCTGGCAGTCACACGACCTGCTAAACTACTCACTGTAATGGTGTAACTTGTTGATTTCAAGTACTCTCTAAGAACGTTTTTTTCCAATTTCTTCACTTAAATTTTGTTGGTTAGAAACTCAGCAAACCTGAATTACAGGACGGTAAATTGCCTATAACTCTATGACAGTAACTTCTTCTGTAATTTGTCAACATAAAACAGTATTTAACTTTTGGGATTACACTTAAAATACCGTTATTGGAAATAATCGTTCCAGTAGACGCAAAAAAAGTATTAAAGCACTAGAAATCAAAGTAAAAAATTTGAAGTTGTATTAGACATAAATAAAAGGTAAAAGATCAACATAAAACTGTAAAAATGCCAGATTTCTGAAAAGAATCTTTCAACAGTTATTATAACATTATTTGACATCATACTAACGAGTAAAAAAATTAATAAAAACTTCTTTAAAAAGTGATTAGAAACGGAGTTACTTTCAAACGGTGAAACAAGAAAAAATAAGTTTGAGTAGGTTGAACAGGAAAATATACCGCTCTTAATTTAACTTGATTAATAATACCCAGCAATTGAGCAATAGCTGGTATTATATAGACAAATGAAAAAGCTGCAAAAACCAGTTAAACAGGTAACAAATTTGCAGCTATTAAAAAGTAAAAAGAAAATAAAATAAGAAGAGAGAAAATCCATCGTTAATGCAAAAAAAAAGTCATTGCAAAAGTAAACAGTAAAAATCCCGTTAAAAATTATAACAGAATTCGGCTCCAACTACTAATTATATATTACATACAAATTACAGTTCCTTATATACAGTAAACCAAAATGAGGAAGCAAATTTTTTGCTGGCAAAAAAATACTTAAACAAAATAAGCATATTGCAATTATGAAAGACTTACAGTGCAACTTTGGTCCCATAATCTGCCAGCTGCTAGTCATGAAGAAGATCAGTTCCAGAAAACAAATTTCCACACATGTGACCTCTTACTTCTTCGTATTTTTCGAAAATCTGAGTCATCCTTAGAGTCAATTTTTCCCAACTATTTGTTGAGGAAATCAAAATGGCTCCGGAACTGCAAAATAGTCATCCTTGTGACTACATTAGACTTCGTCTAATCTCTAAAGGTCAATTTTCTAATTTTGAAAAAAAGCCGCACGTGTAAGTCAAAAAGACAGAAATTATTTTTGACATTTTAAGACGTTGCCAACTTGTCATTATTGGAAACGGTACGGCATATATACCTTTATTATTCTTTACTTATTATTTATTAATTTTATTATTGGGTTTACAACTAAATACGTTGAGAAGTCGGGTCATTTTCAAGTGCTGATACTTTTCGGAAATGTAGCATAGTTTGTCCACTTTTGTTTCTCGTTCTGTTGCCTGGGTTTTTACAATTCCAAAAGTCACCCGTCTTTCCAATTTATGCGCGAACATAAGAATTAACAGTTTAAAAGTGTAGACATCAAACCAACCACAAAATACTGTATTTTATTCTTTGAGTTTGGTTGCACTACAAGATCGGGAAACTAGTCAAGCTTTTAGTTGTCGGATAGTCTCAAAGTCTACCGTTGTTCCATAATGTTTTGAGGATTACTAAAGTGCAGCTAAAAGTTCTAAAAACTGTTCAATAGTTAGTTTATAGTTGGTTTTTTATTTGGGTGGCCGCTAAACTCACACACTTCTAAGTTGAGGCACTACCAGTACAGTAGTCCCCTGTACACACCCTACGTGGGTCCTTCTCGTAATACATTCGCTTAACTGTGACCGTAATCAGCCCCTTACGAATCACAGTTACCAACCAATACGGACTGTATTTCTTACTAGAGATCTTTGAATTCTTTGTCTCCAATCTCCTAAACAGCTGCGCTTTACGTATCTTCTTGGGCGAAATCTTCTTGTGTTGGAGCCTTGTCTTATTCTCAATCCTTCTATTCTTACTTTACCCTTATATTTTACAATCAAGAAACTCTTACCGACACTTGTCGAACACTCAGTACTATACCAACAAATACTGATTACAAATAAAGTCCAATAAACAGAAAACTGCCTGCCGGGCACGCAATAACAGAAAAAATATAGTATGAACCAAGGTCG